GAGTTCGGCCACTCATGAGCTTTGCAGATTAGAAAGTTACTTCACAGCCCTGGGCCTTGGCACCTGAGGCCAGCACCGCCTCTTGCTCCTCCACGGCATTGAAACTTTTGTCACTGTGCCCATGACGACAGTCATTCAAGGGAACTACAGAAACAGGAGACACAGCATGCTGGCCCATCCTCAACTGAAGGACTTGGGTCAGGTGGTCTGCATTTTTTTTTTTAACTAGGCAAAGAATTTTATTAATCTTTGTTTCAAACTTTATTCCCAGGCTTCTTCAGCTTAACTGGCTGCAAATAATGAATTGTAAGTAAGCAAAAACTGAAAAGAGCTGCAGTGTCCAAGAGGCTTGGGCCAAGGATTTAGCTCAGTGGTTCTGCCGCCTGCCTTGCAAGCACAAGGTCCTAAGTTTGATCCCTGGTACAAAAAAAAAAAAAGCTACAGCTTTAAAATATTAGAGTGCTAGATTTTATCAGATCCATAAACACAAATTTAAAAAGCAGTCATAATAAAAAAATAGCAGCTCCCAGTAACTTCTTCCAAGTTTTATCTTCTTCAGAAGCTGACTCAATTCAGTTTGCATCATTCTCAGAAGCCTCATCCAAGTTCTCCACAAGATCTGGAACTTCATCATCCTCATCCTCTCCAGGAGCAAGATGGGCTCCAGGAGGCCATCCACAGATCGGGCAGAGCTTCCGCCAGTCTCCCTACACTAGTCAGACTGCCCGCACAGAGCTGTTCCAAGATACTGGGTAGCATTTCTGTCAGCTGTTTCATCTCAGCATGGCCTTCATGGTCAAAGTGTTTGCTGCCAGAGATGCCTGAACTTTGGGGTTGCTGAAGTGGATCACTGTTCCTTGGTTTGTAAACATATTCCCCCAATTCCATCCAGAGATACTGTTTACCCCTAACTTCTTTAATGAGAACTGAAGTTTTTATCATCTGCTGTAGCTATTCTGAGAACCATGTTCTTCCTGCGAGCAGTTCCTTTTCCACCAATGCGAACTTGTGCCTGCAGTTTGGCTAGTTTTTCCTGGCTCATGATGGTTTCTTTCATCTTGTCAGAGCAGTTATGGGGCAGCACAGGAGACTAGAGCTGGTGCTCAGGGAGTCTTGAGTAGACCAGCTGAGATTAGGAGCACACATGCAGGGACGCAAGATGGCAGCTAGAGCGCATTTCTCATCTGGCCTCACATTGCTGGCTTTGACCTGCAATCCCCAGAGGCTACAGGTGAGGTTCACAACCTAGGCTGACTCTGCTCAGGCACAGAAGCCTATGTAGCCCTTGCAGCACGGCTGCACCACGCAGTCAAACTGATTCATGAAAGCAGGAGCAGCTGTCCGAATGCAGTGCTTCCCGTGCACTACCCCACTTACTCCCCAGGGGGCTGGCTGTGTCTATCGGGGCCTGGGTATCTTCATCATGGCCACCACCTCAGCTCCACGATGCAGAGATGGAAACAGGTCCCAGGCGGCTGAACTCCTGCCCCGGCCTCACCACAGGCCTGACAAGGCTACACTCTGTGGGAGTGGTACAAGCCACCAAGCGCCCACACCCAGCTCTGGATGCTGCAAAGGCAGAGAAGGTTTGGCTGTTTTCCCACAGCCTGACAGAGCCCCAGGGCACTCATCTTGTTACCTGGCCTTGCATAGGGTGGTAGCTTAGCTTGGGAAAGGTCTCAGTCATTGAGATGAGACCTGTCTGGGCTGAGAGGTGGTGGCGGTCCAGTATGTGACACCCCTAATCCAGGCCACACAAACCCCCAAGATGTCAGAACGAGCTTTCTCATGGCTCCAGTGTCCCTGTTGTTCTAAGAGCCTGTGAGGCCTGGCCCTTCCTCTAGCTGCTGTCTCTTACCCCAGCGTGAGCTTGCTGTCTAGACTCCAGGTATGCAGATCCCCTACCCTTCCTCCCCTTGGGCCTTGGCGTGCTCCTCCCCCAGGACAGTCCTGACTTCCACTCACCTAGCTCACCCCTCCTCCTCCCTTGGTCCCTCGAAGACATCAGCTCCTGGGGAAACCTTCCTTAACACTGGCCACATCTGTAACCTCTCTGTACCACCTACTGGGCCCTCTGCAAACTGACAGTGAGGTAACCTGTGATAGACCCCACTGCCCCACTGGGGATCCGAGCCTTGCTCCCCACTGTGTGCCGAGTCTGACCTGGGGCTCTGCTCTGTAATGGTGGCTGAAGAGACACACGTGAGGGACACTTGTGTTGGCCCACAGCCAACCTCAGGCAGCCTGAGATGTATTCTCTAAGCCTGTGTATCTGCGCCAGGGTCCGTGCTCGGGCACTTGCACTTGCCCTGAGGACCTTCCTGGTGAAGCTGCAGGGGGCTTGGGGGAGAAGCTGCCAACAGCACCTGAGGTGCAAGCCCTCAGTTCTGACACCACATCAAAGCCAGGCTTTCCTCCCCAGCTCTGCCGGGTCTTACAGCGCAGCCCGGCTAGAGGTGTCCAGCTGGTGACATGTGGGTGCTGTTCCCTAAGGCCTCCGTGGGCACGGGTTACTTGTGGCTGAACTTGAGGCTGCTCTCCCACTTCCCCACTGCTGCTCCAGCGGTGCTTCCTTGAGACCATATGCTTTGCCTTCCAGAGTCTGCTCTCTGTACTCTAACTCCACTCCTGCCAGCCTCTTCCATGGTAATTTCCACCGAGAACAGAGTGCAAGGCGGGAAAAGCTGGAGCCCGGGCCCTGACCACAGGGACAGCTCCTCAGGGCCGTCTGCCATCTTTTCCCCTTGCCGGCCCATCTTCGGCTTTGGTGTGATCACGCCCGCCCGCTGTGGTTAGGAGGGGCAGTGCAGCACAGATCTCTGTTGAGAGGACTGAATTCCCCCAGGTCCCCTTCCAGAGTCCCAGGCAGTCAACAGACAGGGGCCAGGATAGCAGGAACTCAGGCCGGCCCCTGAGAACAGGGTCCTCGATATGAACTCCCACACTCTGGGCTGCAGTGGGCCCACTTGGGTGAAGGTGGGGACAAGGGACACTCACTAGAGGCGAGTTAGGGAAAGTCAGGGAGACCAGAAGCGCCTTATAACCAGTGTTCTGGCAGCAGCAAGACAAAGTGAGAGAAAATGAACCGCTCTCCCCTCTCCAAAGTGTCGAAGGCTCTCTGTGCACAATGCAGCGCAGGTGTCAGAGGCTGCAATACTGGCAGCCTGGTGCCCATGTTACACCATCACTGCCTGGCAGGGCCCTGGCACAGAGCTGCTCTTCCAACCGGCTCCACTCAGTCACAGACAGCAGGGCAAGGAGAGTGGAGGTCCTGGAGCGAGGCACATGGCAGGCAGGCAGTAAACACTCACCATAGGGCTGGTGTGCTAGTTACTTTCCTCTCGTGGCAGCGAAGAACTCCCAATGCCAAAGTTAGAAGGGAAGGGGTTTATTTGGCTTATAGTTTGTAGAGATTTTAGTCCATAATCGACCGACTCCAGACAGGGATGACAAACAGGCCTGGCAGAGCAGAAACAACATGGCGCGCACAAGGCAGCAAAGGGAACACGAGAACCTCAACAGGTAGGCGCCTCTCACCTAGTCTGACTTAGGTCAGGCAGCACTGACCCTTAGTCCTAGTGCCCTTGAGCCTAGCACTGCACCGTGAAGCAATTCCAGCTTCACACACTCAAGATCCAGCCTATGACCACACGAGACTTTGGGGGGACTTTGGGACCCAAACCATAACAGCTGATATATAAAAATGCACTGCCCAGGAGAGGAGGCAGACTTGGAAACTGAGGCACAGAAAACCATGACTTCTTTTATAAGGTTGTGGCAAGTGCTGCTTAATCCACCCATTTCTGTCTACCCTATGGACACCAGCCTAGACCAGGCTCCAACATCACCCTCCCTTGAACCCTTCCCACACTTCCTAGCAGCGTCCCTGCTGTTGTTTTGTTTTTTTGAGACAATCTCGCCATGCAGTTCAGACTGGCCTCAAACTAATTACATAGCCCAGGCTGGCCTTATGGTGATTCTCCTGCCTCAGCCTCCTAAGTGCTGGGGTTCACCATTGCACCTGGCAGAATCCTGCTATTTGACCTTCCCCACACCACCCCTCAACCAGCTCTCCATAGATCCAGGTTGTTTTCAGAATGAGGAGATGCTGGGAACCACCGGCAGCAGGAAAAGACAGAGGCAAGGGTCTGCTTGAACCTCACCAAGGTAACTTCACACACAGCAGATAACTAAGGCTGCAAGGCTTCTCCTGACAGTTGTGGCCAGGGGTCTGCATGGGAAAAAGCTACACCATACACTACACAGCCTTGCCAAGGAGCCAAGGAGCTGGAACCTCAATCTGACCCCACTTTCCTCTCCATCACCCCCGAGGCCACAGGAAACACACAGGGCCAAGGTATACGCAACAGGAACACTGTTAACAGGACCCAGGCAGGGAAACTGCACAGTTTCTCACAATAAATTCAATAAATTCTCACAGTAAGTAAGGGAAGGGAGGAAACCTGCCAATGAGGAGAGAAGGGACGCCCCCTTCCTCTCTTAACTGGATCCTGGGCATCTGAACACTGAGTGGACATTTGAGATGTTAGAATCACTGTCAGATATGAGGACAGTCCTGTGGTTTTGTTGTTTAATGGTGCCCTTTCGGAAATATGTAAGAAAAAAATTGGCAGGAAAAGATAGTATTTGGGGTTTGGTTTAAACTACTCTGGGGCATTAGGCAGTCAGACAAAAGAGGGTCATCCACAAATGAGACCGCAGAAGCCAGGAAGCTGCACGACAGGAACTTGAAGCTCCCACCTCTGGTTAATTTGGTACGTTTCAAATTTTCCATAATAAAGAGGATTTCATAGTGGTTGTTTGTTTGGAATCATAAATATTCCTAATAAAGAGGGAGGGAAAGAAACAGCATAGGAGGAAGAGGGCCTGGTCCAGGGTGAGGGATTTCAAAATATTCAATTCTACAAATGCTCGATTGCCAGCTTCCTGCTTCACAAACACTTAAACAGTTTTCTAAATCTCAATGAACATATACTCACCTCACTCCCAGAAGACACAGGACAGTAGAACCTGTGACCTGGGCCAGCCCACGCACTCTCTGATTGTCTGTGAAAGATAATTACAGAAGAGAAGTCAGAGTTCAAAAAATTTTTGAGCCATCTGGCATAGTGACCTTGTGTCTGCTGAGTAAGATAGTAGGTTTCATTTTGTATAGACTCATCTCCATTATGCAAATTCATTTTCACTTAAATGTCAATCAGCCCAACAGAGATTAAAGTTTTACAAAAGAACATGTGGTCCTTTACACAGTCGTAAAAAGGAAATGCCAAGCCAGTGAGCACAGGTAGACTGCCAGGGAGCCCAGGACAAAACTTCCCGGCTGCTGTCCGCGGTGTGGATTTCAATGCTTCCTACAGAGCACGGGTGAAAGGAGGAGCCCTTCAAAGCCTGTTTGTCCTGCACAATCCTGCCAGTGCAAGCTGAGCCGCCTCCCACAAACAGCAGCAAGGCCCAGGACAGGCGCCAAGTGGCTGCCTGGGCCAGCCCCTCCGAAGTCGCGGTCAGCCAGCCAGCTTTCACCATGCCCAGGGATATTTCCTTTTTGAACTTCTGGATCAGCCTGACCCTTATGTTTTAAGGTGAACTGCTAAACTTTTTTATATCAACTGGAAATTACTCTATCACCAAAGTACTGAAATACATCGTGAGGTAGGACTATGATCCCATGGCTCCTGGTTTGCAGCGTATTCCCTGAAAATGCCATCACTGTTCTCACTGTGACAAAAAAACCACCACCACCACCAACAACAAAACCCCAAACACACCAATACAAACTTAGAAAATAAACTCACGCTAGCATGCACCATCACTTGCATCTGTCTTACATATGCAGTTCTACGTTTCCCCTACTATAGAAAAGAAAGTGGCTGGTGCTCTCAATTCTGCAATCACTCGGCTTTTACCCTCTCTAGACCTAGATTTCCTCATCTAAAACAAATGGAAATAGCTGCCCATTTCATAGTTGTTTTGGTTTTGGTGAAGGCAAAGGGATGTAGGAACTAGTAACACTGAATTAAAAAGGCAAAGCTGAAAAAAAAAAAGCACATAGTGACTGTCAAGTTCACGGTACGGCCTGAGTTCCATCTTCCATGTCCTACTTGCTTAGTTAGCTTATCTCATCTCCTTTTCTGTAAAGTGCAAAATTCGATGCTCCAATAACCAATAATACCACCAACAGATTATCTGACATTTGCTGACCAGAAAAACACATCGCTGACCCTGGACGTGCCCAACACAGTGCTGTGCTACCCCAGAATATCTGGTGATTGTCCCACAGCCCTGTGAGGCTTATTCCATCACCTCACTTACAGATGGAGCTTAGAGACAGCCACACTGGTCCTGCTTCTTCTGTGTTCTGGTCATTCTGTGAAGCCCCAATATGGTAACCAACAGGAAAGCCAACACAAGTACCAAGGGGACCGGGACAGGGACCAGAGCCGTGAATGGGACATACATGTTACGACCTCATGGAGTTTCATGGCAAGAGTGCTGTGAGAGCTAAGCTGTTAGGAGATAGCACATGTTAAAATATTAACCCCTCCCAGCCATTTTATATCTTACTTGCGGGTTCTTTCCCGACTCTGAGTCCTTTCTCCCGCCGAAATTGTAAAGCGCGAAACTAGAGCCTCTCCAGGGCGCGAAATTCAAAAGACAACCTGGCTTGTGATAGGATAACAAAGACCGCTCCTCCCAAGGAAGGATCTTCCGCTGCCCGCCCTATAAGTATCCCAGTACTTCCTCTTCTGTTCTCTCGCTCTCTGCCCTCCGCCTCCCACTCACCTCACTATAATAAAATCTCCTGCCAGGCCTCTCGGTGCGTGAGTGGTATAATTGGGTAAGGGGCACCCAAAGGGGGCTTGAGACCCCTTTCATAAGCTACCTGCTGGCCAGAGCCTGTGCCCTTTCCTGAGCCAGTCCCTCCTCCTGGAGCAGAGAGAACGTGTGGACTCTGTGGCCATGCTGGGAACAGCAGGGGGCAAGCCCTGGGTATGGCTTCAGGGTCAAAGCAGGCATTGGAGTTGAGTCACCCAAGTCCATGCAGCTAGGGCCGTGCAGGAGCAGACAGCTCCAGGGCCTGAGTACTCCGCCTGCTCCTTCCCAGCCCAGCCTGCCGCCGAAGCCCTTGGAGCAGCTGGTGCTTGCCAGAAACAGTTGCCTCTTCAGACAATGAATCTACTATTGAACAAGCCAGGGCCTTGATTAACATTTGCAAAAGGATGAAGTGGAAAATTCCACCTGGGTAGGTGGAGTTGGACTCTGGGACAAGTCAACAACCCTCCCAGGATAATCCTCTCAGGGATGAATCTGGCAGAGCAACTAACCAGAAAAGGATCTGGGGACTCATTGCTCTCTGGTCCAAGAGTATTTTCCTGTTTGTGTCACACAGCTATTAGGGTATTTTGTTTTTATTTTCCTGCCTCCCCTAACTCTAAGTCTACCTAGCAATTATAAGGCCTTCAGCTTGCTTTCCTATCTCCTGTTTCTTCTGAGACTCCCAACAGTCCTCCTTGGAGGCAGAGCTGATGTAAGCCTCACCGTACTGATGAATGGGGAAACTGAGGCTCCAAGAGACCAAGAGCCCCAGGGAAGGCCAGCAGATGGTGAGTGAGCCACAGAGCCAGGCTCTCTGGAGGCCGGAGTCCTCCCAGGGGTGGCTCAGCACTTGTCCAAGGCCTGGCCAGGGCCCCACACATTGAGCCGTCATCCAGGCTCCAGCCAACACCCTGCTCTTTACCCACCCAGGCCTGGAAGAAGAGGGGAGTTAAAACCAGCTCTCCTAGGTGGACAGGCTTTGGCCGGCCTCAGGGAAGGTATATGTTAATTTGATCATTCATTCAATCATTTTATGAGAGCCCACCTAAGCCCCCAACACAAAGGCCACTGTGTTAGGTGGCTTTCAGAAGTCCAGATATGCAGAATGGCTGACTGGAGGGGGAAGGCCAGAGAACTTCCAAAGGTCATTTGTTTGGGTTCAATCACATCATTATCACTACTTGATCTCACTCACTGTGTTGGTTACTTTTCTCTCTTTGTTGAGACAAAATACCTGACACCCAAAGTTAGAGAGGAAGGGGTTTAATCCGCTTATAATTCCTAGAGGTTTCAGTCCATAATCGGCTGGCTCTGAGGCTGGGATGGCAAATAAGCATCACAGAGGAGAAACAACACGGCACACACAAGATAGCAAAGGTAACTTGAGGAGGTTATCAGCATCTTTCTGCCCCTTTTATCTTACTCAGACTACTTAGGGTGGGTAGAACTCACACCTTAGTCCTAGGGCCTGTGAGCCTAGCACTGGATCACGAAGCAATTCCAGCTTCACACGCTCTAGATCCAGCCTTTGACCATGAGGCTTTGGGGGGACATCTACACCCAAACCATAACACTCTGCCCTGGCCCCTCAAAGACTCACATACATTCCTTTACACAAAAGGCATTTAGTCCATCTCCAAGAGTTGCCAAAGTCCTAACAGTTTCAGCACTGCTGAAAAGTCCAAGTCCAAAGTCTCCTCTGAGATTTAAGGCAAACTCTTAGCTACAAGCCCCTGTACAAATGATACAAATGAAAGGAAAGTTAAACATTTCCAACATTCAATGGTACAAGGTCAACATTACCATTCCAAAAGGTACAAATAGGGGAATACAAAGGCATGGGGCCAAGTTCAGTCCAAGATCCAGCAGGCCAAACATTTCATTCCTCAGTTCCACTTCCAGCATCCAGGGGAATCTGTGGCAAGTTGTGAATTCCAAGGGCTTGGGTGGCTCTACCTCTACGGCACTTCTGGTGGTTGTAGCTACCATAGTTTCTCTCTGGGGCCAGCTCTGCTCCTTCTTTGCAGTTTTCCTCATTCAATAAACACTCTTGGCTTTTCCAAACTTCTGGGGTCTCCACTTGAACTTCAGCGTCACACACGGCCCTCTCAGAGGCACCCTGCCTGGCCTCACAGGCCTTCTTCTGAGATCTGGGCAGAAGCCTTCCTGACACCTCAAGTCTTGCATTCTGCAGACACCTAAAACCAGTACCAGGTGGGTGATGCCAAGGTCTGCTGCCAGCTGGAGCTGTAACCAGGCTTCCTTCTCCCTTGGCTGTAGGGGTCAAGTGCCTGGATCGCCAAGCACTCTGAACCCAATTCCAAGGAACAAACTCTCTAGGCTACCACCATTTTGGTACAACTTCCCTAGGCCACTGCCATTGTGGAACATGGTGCTCTGGGGCTTCCTTCTCAAAACAAAGTACTTCATTTTTTTTGCAATTTTGAGGCTACAAAAGGTGGAATCCTGCTGTCTCTTGGGATTCTCTCAGGCCATCTTTTCTATTCTCCTGTTTCTTCTCAGCAATTAAGACCTCCTCTGTTCTTTGTAGTCCACAGCTTTACTACAGCTTCCTTTCTAGCCCAACTCAAAACATTTTAAATCATTCTGCTGTGCTCTTTGCTCTTGATTCTCAACACAGGTCTGGCCAAAAGCCACCAACAGTAGCCATGCTACAGCCTCAACATTTGACTGCCTTGAAATTTCTTCTGCAAGATTCATTAGTCCACCACCCCTAATCTCAGTCTCAGGCAGTCTCTGGACATGAACAAAATGCAGACAAACTTTCTGCCAAGCCATAACACAAGTCATCTGGAACCCAGAAGCCAATGTAGTCCTTCTTCCCAACAAACTTCCCAACCCTGGTCTTTACTGACCTGGTGTTCTGCACCCTGACCAGAATCTCCCATACAAAATAGTCTAAGATATTCTAGAGCTACTTCTTTAGCCAACATTGCCCAATCTTTCCTTCCTAATTCTTTCACTTCACACAAGCCAGTTCCAAAGGCTTCTGAGCCACCTGGCCAGGTGAAGTCACAGCAACGACCTCACTGCTCTGATACCAAATTTCTGCGTTATTTTTCTCTTGTTGCTGAGACAAAATACCTGAAATCCAAAGTTAGAGAGGAAGGAGTTTAATCCGCTTATAATTCCTAGAGGTTTCAGTCCATAATCGGCTGACTCCGAGGCTGGGATGGCAAATAAGCATCACAGAGGAGAAACAACACGGCACACACAAGATAGCAAAGGTAACTTGAGGAGGTTATCAGCATCTTTCTGCCCCTTTTATCTTACTCAGACTACTTAGGGTGGGTAGAACTCACATCCTTAGTCCTAGGGCCTGTGAACCTAGCGCTGCATCATGAATCAATCCCAGTTTCACACGCTGTAGATCTGGCCTATGACCACATGAGGCTTTGGAGGGACATCTAGACCCAAACCATATCACTCACCTTATTTTATAGAAAAGGAAACTGAGGGGCCAGGGATTTAGCTCAGTGGCGCTACACCTGCCTCACAAGTACAAAATCCTGCATTTGATCCCTGGTAACCCCCCCACCCCAAAATGAAAAGGAAACTGAGGCTTTGAGTAGTGCAGTGGCTTGCCAGCAGTCCAGGAGAAGCCAAGCCCTCCACAGCCAAGTGGCCCTAATTCCAGCTTATCAAGCCACACCCTTGTCTCACTTAGGCATCCTACCACACCATGTCCTTTTGGCAGGTGACCACAGGGTACGTGTTCAATCAACACAGTCATCTCACAGAGGGACTGCTGTGCCACAAGCCAGGCAGGCAGGTGCTCTCTGCCCATCTGAGGCTCCAGCTGTGGCTGCAGAGTCCTCATCCTTCCACTACCCACTATCCCAGCCCTGTCTACAGAGAGCTGTGGAACTACGCCTCAAACACCCCAGGGGCCAGGGCACTGTCAAATCTAACCATCCGTGACAGGCCCAGGCCGTGTCTGCAGCTGGAAGTCTGCCCTGATCCCCTGCCCAAGGACTCTTCCAGCCCGAACTCTTACTCCACCCTTCTCTCTCTCACCCATGAGCTTCCCTTGGAGAAGGAACCTCAGCTGCCCCTTCTTGAAACAACCCACAACACACCTCACTCAAATTTCTGAGCCCATTTCCTCCTATCCCATTTGCTCTGGCCAAGGCCAAACCAAGCAATCCCTGGCCTCTGTGCTCTGGTGACTCCAAGAGCTCTTGTCTTCTGCCTGGTTTTCATGGGGTGGCCCCTCCTTGTCCCTATGCCTAGTCTCCTCTCTTCTCCATCACACCAGCAACGACTGATCCACAGATCGGTTTCCAGGCCTGACAAAGGCCCTACACTTGGGCCCCAGCTCACCACCACAGGGCCTGCTCCAGCACAGGCCATGAGGCCAGCACAGCTTGGACTCGCTGAGTGAGTAAGAGTCGGTGAATAGCTTCTGCTTCACTGGTCTCAGAGGGGCCGAACCCTACTGCCCAGCACAGACGGCCAGGTGGCTTTTCACAAACTCAAGACTGACTACCACTGAAACATCTGCCAGGGCTCGTCAGCACCATGAAACAAAGTTCACAATCTCTAGTGGCAAACAAAACAGTCTGAGTTTCTGCAGCAGTAGATCCCAGCCCTGCCCTTTGCCTAGGAGGGATCTGAAGCAGCAGGGCACCACTTTTCTGTGACTTCACTGTTAGCCCAGCTGCTTGTCAATCTTCCCACAACCCACTGTATCTCAAAGGATGGTTCCTGGGCCATGCACCCCCAAATAAAATGGGGGTGGGAGCTCCAGCCCTGAAGACCTAATATTATAGGCAGCCAAGTTAGATAGAAATTAATATAGTCAGAGAAGAAGCACGGCCTCAAGGAAGCAGCACAAAAAATACAGACATGAGAATTGCGGCCGGAGGCAAATGTGGAGAGAGCCCCGCCTCAGGATGGAGAAGCAGTGGCCAGGCCCGGGAGCCTCCCTGGAGACAAGCACAGCTTGAGATTACACCAGGTGAGCTCGGCCTGGCCCAGCGGGGGCACAGGCGTCAGCCGCAAGGTGGGCGGTGGGCGACCACAACAGCCAGGCCCACACTCCCCTCCCTTCCCCAAAGCGCTAGACCCCCCCTATGGACTCGTTCAGGGGATCAGCACTAGCTAAGCCGCTGTGCTTGTGACCCTAAAGACTGCAGTCTGACTGTCACTGAAACAAGTGCCCCGGTTCATCAGCACCATGGGACACAGTGCTATCTCCGCACCCACGTTAGGATTTTGCTGTGAGCCACCCCTGTCAAAGGGGCTCAGCGGCCACCCACTCGAGACTCCTCCCAGAAACCCAAGGGCTGTTCTCTTCCTCTCCATTTCCAGTAAGATTCTCCTAACTTCCTTGGTGCGTGACTTCATTCCTCTATGTTGTGAGACAACACCTGGCACATCTGACATCCAACAGGTCGGGAGGTATAATTTTCCTTCATCATTAATCTCATTTGGGTCACAGCACTGAGTCACCGAGCACAGTGAAATTTGGGGACGGCAGTAATGAGATCTCAGATCTTGGAGCCTCGAGTGTTGCAGGCAGACCTCATTTTTTAGACATACCCGTTTACCAGAAACCCGAGGGGCCGGAAGCGGCGATTCCTATCGCTATTTTTACATAACTAAGTTCCCGCTGAAAAGGAACTCCACCAAAGTCACGGAGGCTTCCACCTTTCCGGGGCTCAGCCCAAAGGCTGCGGGGACCCTGGCCGGCATGGGGCTCCGTGCGAGGGGCAGGCGGGGTCGGGGGCTCCAGCTACTCACCCTCGGCAGCTTGGCCCTTGGGTCAGGGCAGGGACCGCCCGC